TTAATTAATCAAGCCATTCTAAAGTTGAAAAACTGAAATAGTATTTTCTTGTGAAATGTACTCCAATAATCAAACAAACAAACAAATAAATAAATAATTATTGATATAGACCAACATTTTTATATTGGAGCTTTAGTGTAAAATAAAATAAATAGTTAAAAACTATCATAGCTAATAATCATAATATAAATAAAATGATCAGCTATTGGTATTGTCGCCAGCATGAACAGGTTTGCATGTTTTTTATGGTAATGTGTTTATGTGTGGTCAGCTTTACAAGTTTTCTTGTGTGTCCCACTGACCTCCTTAAACTTGTGTGCGAGTTTCTCTGGGTCCATCTCCACAGGGGAGAGCATGTCTTCATTCTCTGCCAGGTCAAACACCTCGATGGCATTAGGAAACATAGGGCTCATCTCTTCTTCTTCATCGGTGGCATATTCACCTGTCTGAACACGGACAAGAAATTGAGAAAGAACAAGAGATGGATATTGAAACATACTGTTTTTCAGTGCCTTTGAGATTTGTATATCTGACCGTAATCAATTTATGGATTTTGAAGCTCAAGACGTTTCTGCATGAGACGTTTGATAAGGTTTCTTGACTTAAATGACTTTGGGTATGTATTGGCTTCTGATCAGTGTGTTAGTAACATTAACCACTAGATGTCAGAGTTAAGCTAGGCAGAAACCAATTGGATCAAGGGAAAAACACATGCCAGGACATTGTAAAAAAAAAAACAAAAAAAAAACCCTGTGACTGGCCAACCACCATTTTGAATTGACTCTGCAGCTGCAGGAAGATGAAGCAAAGGCAGATAAAAGCAAACTGAAAGAATTGCAACCACGTGATACACTGATGTGCCACATTATAAATGATTTGAGAGCTGTTGAGAATATCTTGGACCATAAACAAACATACAAAGTCTCCTAGGAATTTCTGAGCAACACCGCCATGAAAGCATGTCCCAACACATCTGAAATAAAGCATCCAACATGTTCTCCACATCCTAAAAGTGCAATTACTCTGACCTCAAAAGGCCGTCGTACACCCAACACTCCCTAAGAGCCACTGCAAAATTACACCACTATCCTTTTAACAATGGACTTCCCCTGCATGTTGGGACAAACTCCCTCCAGCACAATGACTTCCTGTCTGGATGAGTGAACGCAGTGTAAACTCTTATCAGGCAAATAGCCACAGTTAATGACATGTCATGAGAGAATCGTTTTCTTGTTAATAATGACCTTTGCAATCCATCTATTTTGTAGGTTCGTATCAGTTCAGCATCGAGTGATACAATAACTATTATTTACAAGAAAAGAGTGACAATCAAATTACTACAGTATCTTAAGTTAAGTTAACATATATGCTCTATAAAATGTCATTTACTGTAATTGTCACTCGTCACTGATAGAGCAAATGACACAAATTCAATAAAAAATTCTTAGAAAAAATACATTGTGAAATTGTAAAAATACAAAAGCAAAAACCTAAATTTTCTAAGATTGAGTTACAAAATACTTTGGTTATAGATTTTTGATTTTTTTCAGATTAAACAATTGTTATTCATATATTATTCTGTACTTTATTTAATTCAGTTAATTCAGTTAAAGTCCCCCTGTGGTGAAAATCAAGTTTTTTTTATCTTGTTTATTTGTCTATGTGCTGTTTTTAATATGCTTTTAGACAAACCATGTGCCAATCCATTTATCAACACCATTGCTGAGTATTTTCTCCTTAAAACTGTAGTTTCCTACGGAGCCCGGGAAGTCACCTGTAGGAGAAAAAAAACAATCCGTGGCGACGGTTTTGCAATCCGTCCCCTCAGTTTATAAACCGTACTCACGAATTCTTAAACTGTTCCCTCGATTTAACAAATCGTCAAAGATGAGTTTTAAAGGATAACATTTTTGACTACAGGTGGACTTTAAAGAAATTAATGAAAACAATTATAAAATGTCTGATTCGTATTAATCAATTACATAACACTGCATTGTTAATAAACTATTATATGATAAAATATATATTTATAACTATTTATATATTTATATTTATACATTATAAATATATAATATAAAATAAAAAAATATGAATATAAATATGAACTTATTATATATTATATATATAATTATAGATATGACCATTTATTTTACTTATATAATATTAAAAAAAAAATTTGTTTTAATTAGTGTCTTACGCTCACCAAAGCTGTATTTATGTGATGAAAAAATGTAATCAAGACAGTAAGATTGTGAAATATTATTACATTTTAAAATAACTTTTACATTTTATTATATTTTAAAATATAAATTATTCCTGTGTTTTAAAAGCTGAATTTTCACGCCAGTCATCAGTCACATGATCCTTCAGAAATCATTCTAATATGTTGATCATTAAAAGAAACATTTCTTACATGCATTTTTTTCAGGATTCCTTGGTAACTATAAAGTTCAAAAGGACAACATGTATTTGAAACAGAAATCTTTTAACATTATAGATGTCTTTACTGTCACTTTTGATCAATTTAATTTGTCACTAGTAAATAAAAGTATTAATTTCCTTACATATATCGGAGAGGAGAGGGGCTTCTGTATTTACAAATGTATTTTTCTATCTCAGTGAGTCCAATTTGTCATTCTGTCTGGCTGCCCAAGTCCATGCATCGGTCTGAACTCCGCCATGTGGGTGAAGTAGCAGACAAACTGTCTGTTCCTGCACCTCTCAAACGTTAAGACAACATCAGACTGACGTGAGCTCAGTGTTGCGGAGGAGAACGCGCTGAGAGGGCACTGAGCTGGCAAATCTAGCCGCGAGACGCACTGCCATGGCATTCTGCCCTTACTTTCACACCCAAGATCTCCAAGAACACCGACTGCAAGAACTGTGAATCTTCAACATCTGAATTATTAATCAATTCCCCTCATGCCATGGCAATGTGGGCAGGTGTGGAGGACAATTATGAGACATGAACGTGTCAAAGCAATGCAGTGCTTTAAAACAGAGCTAATTATTGTGATTTTATGATTCTGAAAGAGAGTCTCGGTGAAGAAATGTTGACATCCTGTCTTCCACTGCATGCAACCAAAATCACTTTAATAACCCATCATTAAGGGGTACAGCTAGATTAATGCAATTAAATGGTTAAAAACCCCCACATTTCTTTTACTATAACTTGATTTATAAGCTTTGAGCATTTTAAACATGTCATAAATGCATGTTTTGATGCATTGCCAAGAACAAAGTCAAGCATCATTCCCCCCATAAATCTGTCACATACTGAAGGGAAAATAACATTTTATAGATGGAAAAACATGCTGTTGCAGAGAACTAAATGTATATGATCATGGTCTCTGAAGAAAGCATTATCTGAAATTAGTCACTTGACTCTTCACCTTGCTTTCACCGTCTCGTCAGTCCTCCTGTTCAGTTTGTGTGCAATATTTGTGCATCAAGTATTTCTTAACATGGAAGGTTTGTCCTTTCCACCCACATGATTTCTTTGTGAATATTAACTTGTACTGAATGAATCTGAATCAAAAGTGGTTGTTCAAAATTCAAGACAAAAACAAACTGAGTCTTTTAAATCTAACTCATCCCAATACATCCCAAAGTGGAGAAACGGACAGCAGCTGATGAGGCTGTGATGAAGACGGCCCTGTCTGTAAGAAAGCCGCTGACCCAGCTCTCATCTTCTCTGTGCCGTCAGCAAATGTTATGTAAAAGTATGACACACACACACACACTGACTAGGATTTCCAGTCTAACTTATGAAATCTGAGGTCAGTGGTGTAAAAAAGGAGTATGTAACATATGCAATCCAGTGCCACTCAACTGGAGGCAAAATAATAGATTTTCTAGATGTTCTATATAATCTACAAAGTACAAAATATATATTTAACACAATAATGACCAAAAAAAAAAATTTTTTTATTTATATTTAAGCCTTATAAATATGCAAGCCTCAAAAGCTAAATACAGCTATTCTCAAGAAATCTGTAGACAAGTCTGATCACCTGAAAAACACCTAGTGAATCAATGACATTGATGACACTTTCATCAGTGTACAGTGTCTGTCTGGGTGTGCATAAGAAAAGCTTGTGTCCACAGACAGGGAAAAGTCTATTTCGCAGTCACTGGCAAAATATTTACTATAATATAATGAAATCTTTGCAATTAATAGGTTTAAAAATTCATGTGGTGGAGTGTTTGGGAAACATTAAAAAAAATGGGCTGCATGATTTGGGGGGAAAATGTATTGTGATTTTTCTGATTAAAATTTTGTGATTTGAAATACGATAAAAACGGCTTGCTTTGCTTGTTTGTAGTCCTACACATTTCTGTCATTTTGTTATGAAATTGGCTGTAAAATAATAGTAATAATAATAATAACTAAATTAAAATACACAAATTACTAAATAAAAACAAAATAAGAAATATTAATATTGTAATACTCCACTGTAAAATAAGTATTTAAATAAGTATTTAATTTATAATTTTATTTCATTTTTAAACTACGACAGTAGAATTACAATACTAATATTTATGGCACTTTTTAACTTTTATTTTGATGGAAAACGGCAGGAAATCATTAAAGCTTCTATTTGGTAACAAACGCTTCTCATTACAAGTAATTTTTCAAGTAATGATTTCTGAAGGATCATGTGACACTGAAGACTGGAGAAATGGCTGCTGAGAATTCATCACAGGAAAAATTACATTTTAAAATATATTCAAATATAAATTAGTTATTTTAAATTCGATACTAATTCACAATATTTATGGCTGTCTTAATTTTTTAATTTTTAATGGCTGGCACATGGTTCATTACCAAATGCATGTTACAGCGACCCAAACTCAGAGCAGATGCAGAGATGAGTCTGTGTGGAGCAGCATTTACTGCGAACCAAAGCTCTCTGAGATGCTACAAACACCAGCAGATCATGAGCTGCTCATGTGTAAATGAACACAGTGCTGTGCTCTGAAACACGCAGTGCTTATATTTATTTAATTAAATCCCATGTTACTTGTACTGAATCTGCATTAGTCGCAAATTGAAAAAGTTGTCTGTTAAGGGTACAATCGTGTATCTGAAGAAGCTTTACCTCTTCGTCCTCTTCCATGTAGGGGTTGTAGCGCTGCTCCATCATTTCTTTCTGCCATTTCTCCTGTTCCAGTGTCTGCTGGATCAGCTGGGCCACTTCACTCTGTTCCCCCGGCTTCTCCCGGCCAATCACAAACCTGCAACACACAAACACCAGCCAATCAGATATAACCTAGTGAACCAGCTGTCATTCCTTAAGTGAGTTCTCTACTGTGATGATTTACAGGAAGGAAAAGACCTGCATTATGAAGCCTAAAAGGCTCAAAAACTTCATCACCATCCTGCTGTATGCCTTCAACTGCATCCAATTTAAAAGCAACTAATTGTCAGTTGCCTCTATGCTCAGATATTCCACAAAAATACAAGTTATTATTAAACATGTTCTCTCCCACTGGGCTTAAGCCTCATCTATTAATCACATTTTCCATTTCCCTGCACTACAATCAAGCACCATCCACGCCTAGCCAGAACAGCTTAAGAGAAAACAGGACGCAGATGCGTGAGCTTATTTGAAATGCCACAACTACCCAATCCCTCATCTTGACTGTAGATACAACCACACAGGCCTTAGATCTTTGTTAAATCAAAGTAACAGAAAGCAGCAATCTATTCGATACACAGCACTGTCAGGGCAATATTAGAGATGATAATGAGTCAGTGAGTATCTGATGCCAAATGAGACGACAGAAGATAATGCTGGATTAAATAGAGGGAAATTAAATTCTAATACACTAAAACCTGAATTTTTGGTACAAAAACATGTGCAACAAAAGTTCAAAATGAAGCAGTGGATCTCTGTGAACTCATTCACACCAAGTCTGATAATACTCCAATGATATATTGCTTTTTATTTCTTTTTTTTTTAAAAATTGTTTGGATACAGAAATACAGAAATTTTTGCATTGGTCTAAATATTTTTTGAGTGAATATTTTATAATTTTATATTATTTTTGTCATGTATGTAATTCTATCACTCACACACACACACACACACACACATTACCATACAAGCCAATTAGCTGCGTCACGCCGGATCTGTTTCCTACGTTGTTGTGATTTGATCTGAACGAAAACAGCGTATCTGGCGTGACGCAGCTGACACAGAATAGCATACGCTGTTTACGTCCAGCTGATACTCTCCAAAATAGCGCTAGGGTGGAGGAGACGAATTGTTGAATAAAGTCGTTTTTTCTTTTCTTTTGCTTACAAAAAGTATTCTCGTAGCTTCGTATAATTACGGTTGAACCCCTGATGTCACATGGATTATTTTACAGATCTCCTTGCTACGTTTCTGGACTTGGGAACATTTCAGCTGTATTGCTGTCTATGGAGGGTCAGAGAGCTCTCAGATTCCATCAAAAATATCTTAATTTGTGTTCTGAAGATGAACGAAGGTCTTACGGGTTTGAAACGACATGAGGGTGAGTAATTAATGACAGAATTTTCATTTTTGGGTGAACTATCCCTTTAAATTTGATACTAATTCACAAAATGACTGTTATGCCTGTATTTTAGAATAAATAAGTAAATAAACAAATAATAAATAAATAAATACACTTTTCAAAAATATATATAAAAAACCCCAATCTTATAATATAATATAATATAATATAATATAATATATAGGACTCGACCAAACCTTGACCTGTGAGATTTTAAAGGGGTCATGAACTGCCTTTTTTTGTACTGTTCTCTGGGGTCCACTTATAATGTTATCAAGAGTTTTATATAAAAAAAACATCATAATTTAGAAGTAACAGGCTATTTTCTGTGCTGTTTTGACCCCCCTCATCAAAACGCTCTGTATAGGCATGGCGGATTGTAGAGTCGGAAGTAAACACCCAGTGCTATGATTGGCTAATAGTTGTGTGTTAGACAGACAACGTCCTTCACAGATGGACACTGCTGTGATTTAGGTTAAAAGCGCATGAATACTCATATCAAACGATCTGTTTAACAGACAAAGCAATAGTGTAAAAACAGTTACTGATACTTCAATCTTTCTGCAAATCCTGCATCGAATTGTTCCTTGTTTGTAAACAAATCCGCGGTAAAATTAATTGAACAAAGGACCAAGTTCTTACTGACGTGGTGAAGAACTTCATTAAAAATAAAGTTCATCCTCTCTTTTCTACTGTTTAATACAAGCTGTTTTTAGACTAATGAGAAAGTTTTGAGTTCTGAAACTTACAGGATGTTTTTATAGTACAGTGACCTCTTATATGTCAAAAGATCAAGGGAATTTTGATTTCCCTTTAAATGAACTCTCTATGAAAATGCTGTTTCATTTCCTTACTTGACAGTGCCGCTGGTGTTCCTGAGGACCGATGCAGCAAAATTTTGGGTCACGCCCACCAGGCTGGTTCCGTCCACTTCCACGATCAGGTCATTCACCTGGATCCTGCCAAGAAGAAAAATAACCAGGATAACAGTTCAGGGAGGAAAAGTGCATCTGCAAAATGGCTGCTAGATCTTGGGCCAAGATACTGACCAATCTCATCACTATACGTGTAAAGGAACTAACAACGCCAAAGGAGTCATTTATTGGGTCTGAAAACTGACCAACCGCAGCAGTGAATCAGTGCCTCACTTAACTAAACCTCTTCTTGTACTCCAAGCCATTCAAATGATCGATCGATCCTCTCAGTCATAAAACAAGTCAAACTATCCAGCCCCATCCAAAACAGCCTTTTTGCCAAGGCAGATGTACGTTTGATAGACAGCAGGAGCACCAACGAGGTGCCAGAGAGTGAGGATGAGGTCATTTCTGAGCGCTAAAGTCTGTCCCACTCAATATCTAAGAACTTCTGTCACACATGTGGCGACAGCTCATTTCAGCATTGGCTTATTAGATTTTTTTTGTCTCCTGTGGCTTCCAGGTAGACTGTTTCTAACCGTCATGCCAAAATGAGGAAGAAGCCTCTGCAATGCACCATACTGACTCAAGGCCGGAGAGAAATAACTAATGTTATGAGTTTTTATTAAGATCCCTAACACTCGCTGAATCTCCTGGGATCTAAATGAACGTCATAAGCAAAAGTGGGCTTCTCCAAGCAGAATTGCTCTGTGACCTCCATGACTCACTCCAGGGCCTGAAGAGCTCAAATGCCATTGCAAGGTCAGATTCTACTCATTATAGATCAATAAACTCCATTCCTCTATCAATGCACATATGTTTTGAGTAATACTCGGTCAAGTGTAACTCCAGATACACTTCTGTTTCATAAATAACAGAACCATGGACACTATTCATTCTGACAAAAGCTTAAATGTGGTCTCATATCAGTCTAAAAGCATCAGCCTCACAGTTTCCACTGCATGTCTGGTGATTCCTCTGTGACTTTGGTATTTAATCCATTTTGCAGACTGATGAAAGTCTGGTAGTACAGACTGACAGAAGGTAAAGGAATCCCAGTTTCTTTTCACTCTCATTTTCACTCAAATCCATATAAATCCCACTCATGTCCTGTAATTCACTGACCTTTCGTCTCGGTGGGCGGCTCCTCCTTCCGTCACTGTTTTGACGAAGATTCCCAGTTTTTCCAGGCCCATGTCTGCGCCGGCACCCATCCCGATGATGCTGATTCCCAATCCGTCTTTATCTGACAGGAAGGAATCATGGTGTTAATAACAGTTCACACAATTAGTTAACACTTCTCGTAAACAAACACAACATTAAGCATTAGTATGCATAAGTACAAGCAGGATTTCAGACCTATGGCATTTTTTAGTAAATAACATTTAAATTTCAGTATGCTCTTCATGCAAAGTCATCGCACAGCTTCAGAAGACGTGGGATATAGTGTCAGATAGATAGACAGATAACAGATAGAGCTGCATCAACTGCATTAGTGGTGCTTTATGGTGCTCTTTGGAGCTTGACAGCCCCTGCTCACTATACTTTCATTATGTGGAAAAGAGCAGCGTGAACATTCGTCAAAATGCCTCTTTTTGAGTTATGCATGTATAAACAATGACATGTATAAATAATAGTGAATAAATGATGACAGAAATATTTAAAACCAGGATAAAACTTTTTAACCAGGAGGAAATTAAGTCTATAGACTGTAATACTATGGAAATGACTGATTCGGTTATTTACCCATTTGATCAATATAACAAAACTTTCTTTAAATCAGTGTTGTTAATGTTAATTAAAACACTAAAACAATTTTTTAATTAAAATAATTAAATACAATACAATTCAAAATTAAATTAAATTAAAATAAAGGTGAAATAAAATAAAATATTAAATATAAATACATTTAAAATATATAAATTTAAAAAATTGGATGAAAAACCTAAAGTAAAAAAAAAACTCGAGCAAATTAGAAATGTTGCCTTGAAAATTTGTTTGCACTGAAGTACTACAGCTGCTAAATCCAAAATACAAATAAATTAAATCTATATGGAAATATACAAACTAAAAAAAAAAAAAAAAAAAAAAAATCAAATGCTCATCTTGCACTATCTCTACGATGTGCGTCCGTGACTTCACGCATTACGCAATCACGTTACAAAAGTCGCACGCGGTTAGTTCTTCGTCTGTGTACTTTGGTTCAAAAAGGGTAGGGTAGGGTAGGGTAGGGTAGCAAAATACTCCATCTCATTTTCTCATCCAAATTCTAATTCATCTGTCATCGTTACCTTACCTTTACCTTTTTTTGTAAAGGCCGTTTGACTTTCTTTGCATATTTGCATTGTAAACACTGGGTCGGTACTTCCGCCGACGTCACACATGACCTTTCCAATGTGATTACGTAATGTGTGAGGTCGAGCTAGTGCAAGACAAGCATTTGTGGTTAAAAAAATATACACATTTTACTTTTTTGTAGGAAATGACCGATCATTTGGCTAGATAGTACCCTTATTCCTCGGCTGGGATCGTGTAGAGCCCTTTGAAGCTGCATTGAAACTGGAATTTGGACCTTCAACCCACTGATCCCCATTGAAGTCCACTATATGAAAAAAAATCCTGGAATGTTTTCCTCAAAAACCTTAATTTCTTTTTGACTGAAGAAAGAAAGACATGAACATCTTGGATGACATGGGGGTGAGTAAATTATCAGGACATTTTTATTCTGGAAGTGAACTAGTCCTTTAAACCTGTAGCTGACATGGATTTAATGCATGTCACTTTAAAAGCACAGATTAATAAGAAACAAGATTGAAGATCTTGTAAAATTGCAGTTTAAAACACATGTGCCAAGTTATTAGAAATGTTGGTTTCACATGGACCTGAAAAAATGTACACCATTTTCAAGAAATTATTATATATTTATGATAATACAATTAGAAATAACATAAAATATAATAAAAACAATGAATCAAAAAAATAATAATCATAAAACATTTTAAAATATTTTGAAGCTAAAAAGTTAATTATTCAAAAATATTGTTACATTTTTGGGGAGTCACATTATGTGACATTTCAAAGCTAAAATATCATTGCCTTGTCATAAAAAAGGCCAAATTATCTGATATTATCTGAATATGATGTCATGATGGCGTGTCGGGGTCAAAAATGTAGCGTGTGCAGTCTCATTTAATTACTTTAAGTCCTCAAAAATAAAATTAACTAAGTACATAAATAAGTAACAAAAACAATTGTTTTATTAAAATACACAACTATTTGAATGGCTATCAATGAAGAAAGAAGCTTTCTGGGTCCAGATGGTGCAGTTATGACATCTACCAGCAGGCGCTAACTGGGCCATGCTACTCTAACACGCCAAACAATGTCAGACAGATGGAGTGAATGGGAGACAATCATTATTTCAGAGTTTCATTTGGTACAGTTAGTGGAAATTACACACCTTTGGGAAAACATTCCAGAGCTTAAGTCATCTTCTTCAGTGAAGATTTTTTTTCCCCTATAGCTCTGAGCTCCACTAACAGTACAGCTAAAGCAGCAGTTTATACAGATACAGTCATGCATCATGTTCTCCGTCAGAGAGACCGGGGCCTGAAACCGCACGAGTATATGGGTGTATCACTGTGGGTTCATTTATAATAGTTGAGAACTACAACGGTTAGCCGGAAAAAGAGTGCCATGCTATATAAAGAAGCACAGTTTACCCATGAGTCTTTAGACAGCACTCGTGTGGTAACAGCTTCCTGTTTAGGGTCATCTTTGATCTAAATATTTTTTCTTTCTTTCTAAAGCCCATGTTATAAGCACTGAGGGCAGAGTAGCAAAACAGAGCAAAATACAGGAAGCCACTCTTTCCATTTGACGCTACCAAGTGAGTGCTGACAAGTGACAAGCGAAAGAGTTGCTTGAATTATTCATTCAACAGATTTGTTCAAAAACATAGACTAATTTGGGAATAAAACAAGAACTGTCTTGGTGAGTGAATCATTGAAACATTCACTCAACCAAATCGTTCAGCAGATTTGTTCAAAAATATTGAAAGATTCTGTGCTTATATACGGCCGAATCACTTCTTTCTCGTATATTACTTCAATATGATTATTAAAGTAATATCATGTGATTAATTCAATAATTGCCAAATTTTGTCATTAATTTGATTTTTACATTTTATTACATAATAGATTTGAAAATTGTTTCAAACCACAGCCCAAGTTTAGAAATATATTTATGACAGTCATGTTGAAATCTGACTAGATTTTTCCTTCCACCATCATTGCTTAATACAGATAACGTATGGCGTTATTTTAATGACAAATGTCGAGAGCGCATTATTGTAGCGCGAAAGCACATTACACATTAGCGCGAGCGCGAATCTATCTGCTCGCGCGCAGATTTCCCTTGCTCTCGCACAAAACCGGACGCTCGCGCTCAGATACACGCTGCTCTCGCCCAGAGAGTGCACGCACTTAAAACGTGTCTCTCAATAATGCGCTCTCGACATTTGTCATTAAAATAACGCCATAATAACGAAGTTAATCATTCATCCCAAACAAAATTCTGATTGATGTCATAAACTCTGTTATTTCAAACAAGGCAGAGTTTTACAGATAAATGATTAAAAAACCCTCCCCTCATTTCTTTTTCTGATTCAATCTCTTCCCGTGCTCTACTACAGTGGGAAATCATAATTATATCAAAAACTGCTGATGGAAGAAATGTATGACAGTAGCTGAGTAACGCAGTGATCACTGTCCATCTGTCTCTCCGCTGGTGCTGCTGTCAACTTCGTTTTTCTTGGAAAAACTACAGAAAATTGTGCACATCATAGTTGGGTAGAGGAGGACATAATGCAGCAAAATTGCAGCCATTTACTTTTTCCCTCAGCTTCTCTTTTCTGTTCATTTTTGTTTAGTCATTTTCAACTTCCTCAGCCCACCCCATCCTACTGAGCTTGTCTTTCACAACCACTCACTTCCTCTTATTTCATCTCCCTCTTTTCATCTACTCACACTGTACATTATATTCTCTCATTCCTTTCATTTCAAGGAATAGTTCACCCCAAAAATGAAAATGTTTTCAATTATGACTTCCTTTTCTTTTGTGGAACAGAACATTTTATGTAGGTCTTTTTGATAAACAGACAGCTCATAGTGACTCTTAAAAAAAGAATATAAAGCACCATAAAACGTCTCGGTTACATATGGCAACCCTCGTTCCCTGAAGGAGGGAACAGAGACGTCACGTCGGATGACCGACGAATTGGGATCTCGCTTAAAATACTCACATGAACATCCCTTAGGTGCATATGGAAGATTTGAGGTGATTGTAACCCTCTTGGAGTGGCAGAAGTCTGCCGGGGAAACACGGGCTCTGAGGTCATACCGTGGACTTTACACATATGGGATCCACTTAGGTCTCTACATATGGAACCCAGCCCTCTACCGGCGCTACTGCCTGAAGTAGCCCCCCCTGGCTGCCGCCAAGAGGAGAACTAGATCAAGGCAGAGGCAACGGAACTCCGCCCCTTGAGGAAACGGAGCTTGGCCCGCGACTCCGAGATGATCATCTTCCCGCAATGAGAAGATGACTCATCCACAAACGCCACCTCAGCGTGCTACATGCCCAGGCACGTGAGGCAGCGATCGTGACCATCACCCAGCGCCAGGTAATGACCGCATCCAGAAACGCCCGGGTGATACGTTGTCTAAAGCAAGACCCACATCGTCTTTACAAAGACGTAACGTCAAGTTTGCCACGCAACGTCATCTTTAAAAAGACGCACCCGTAATTGCTCTTTTAGGGAAATAGCTCTTTTAGCGTGCTCAGGCGCACAGGGGAGATGGCCACCTGCAACACAAACAGGTGGTAGTGCAGCCTGATGTGTGCAACCCACTCGACACGGGAAACCACCACCGCTGAAGCGCCGTTCCGCCAACACGAAGAGCTCTCAAAGAGCGCGCTGAGATTGGTCTCTCTAAGCGAGATTCCAATTCGTCTGAAAGGGAAGTCTATATAATTATAGAGAGTTTATATCATTTTGACCATACCAAAGTCTATTAATGAACTATAAATGAATAGCTCAAAAGAACTTCCTCAAAAAAGATGATCTGGTTATTAAACTCATAGGACCTCAGATGATGCCAACCCTGAAACAACATACAGAACTACCACATTTCTGATCTTTCTGACTCAATGACTTAGACACAGTGTTTAACAGCCAGTGTCGGGGAGTAACTAGTTACATGTAACGGCGTTACGTAATTTAATTACAAAATAAATGTAACTGTAATCAGTTACAGTTACAAAGTATCGTTTTGTAAAATCTTGAGTATTAAAGTCATGTGAGAGATAGATATCAGGGCAAAATAAAGAGACTGATAAGAAAAATGTAAGTGAATGTGCAGTTCAGGAGAGACCTTTTAATTATTTTGCATGTCTCCAACCTAAGGATTTAAACCTTTTTTATGTGAGGTCCATACAAAAAAATAGGGTTGTCCATGTTTGTGTATGAGTGTGAGATTTCCCGGCCTGAAATTTTTTTCCCAGTCCGCCCCTCGTGGAAATTAATGGCGCAGACATGCGGTTTAATTTACTACACATAGGCCTACTGAAGCTCACGGTGTTTGCAGCCTCTGC